AATCTCGTGTAATTCGTCAAGCACCCGGTGAACGTTGTTATCATATCTTTTATCAGCTCTTCTCTGGACATTTGCCAAATCTTACCAAGGTTCGTCATGTTCTCACTTACATAACCAGCCATATGCTATCTTCGCTCTAGGACCTGCAATTGACCAAACCAGTGAAGGACTACTACTTCGTTGCCCAGGCTGAGTTGAAGATTGATGGCGTCAATGATAAGGCAAGTTTTAGACCAGAATTTTATAACAACTGAAAATTGGCAAAATTCTAGCAATTTTTAAAAATCGCAGGCAGAAAATTAGCTTAGTTTATAAATTTAGGAAGAGTTTCAATTGACCGATGAAGCCTTCGACATCCTTAAATTCACACCAGAAGAGAAGATGAACTGCTATAAACTCGTCTCTGCAATGATGCATATGGGTAACATGAAATTCAAACAGCGACCTCGTGAAGAGCAAGCTGAACCTGATGAAACCGAAGGTACGGTAGTTCTACTGTGAGTGTACGGTAGGGTCAAATGTGTTGCTTTGCAGAATCCACGCTTGCTGCTGAAATGTACGGTGTCGACATGGAGGAGTTGGTAAAAGCTTTGTTACGTCCCCGTGTCAAAGTCGGAAATGAATGGGTGAACAAGGGACAGAATCTGGAACAAGTGGGTCTTACTAAAATTTTCTGGGTGTGGGCCGTTTCGCATGACACCGTAACAATTTCCATGCGGGACCGTCGTTATGCGCGAACTAGCCTGCGACAGTGGTCGCCGCGTGCAAAACATGTTGAGACAAGTTATGCATGTTGCCTGCTAGATTCTGTTGTGCGAAAAGGCCGTTTCTGGAGAAATTTTTTTTTCAAAATGACCATTTAGGTTAACTGGGCCATCGGAGCCATGGCTAAAGGTCTCTATTCTCGAATCTTCAACTGGTTGGTGAAGAAATGTAACCAAACCCTCGATCAAAAGGGTATCTCTCGTGATTACTTCATCGGTGTGCTCGATATCGCCGGTTTCGAGATTTTCGACGTAAGAGAATTTCTAGAAAATTCAAATGTCCAGTGGAAGTCCAACCTTTTAGTTCAACTCATTCGAACAACTCTGGATTAACTTCGTAAACGAAAAGCTGCAACAGTTCTTCAACCACCATATGTTCGTCCTGGAGCAGGAAGAATATGCTCGTGAGGGTATCAACTGGGTATTCATTGATTTCGGTCTCGATTTGCAAGCATGTATCGAGCTGATTGAGAAGGTAAAGATTTTGTTTCAAAACAGGGAAGGGTAAGCGCAAGCAAAATTCTTTGGTCCGCGACTCG